TTAATTTCTACGAAATCACGCGCGTATATAACAGTAGATTTTTTTAAGCTTTCTTTATCTTGTCCCTATAGGTGTTAATTTCTACGAAATCACGCGCGTATATAACATTAGATTTTTTTAAGCTTTCTTTATCTTGTCCCTATAGGTGTTAATTTCTACGAAATCACGCGCGTATATAACATTAGATTTTTTTAAGCTTTCTTTATCTTGTCCCTATAGGTGTTAATTTCTACGAAATCACGCGCGTATATAACATTAGATTTTTTTAAGCTTTCTTTATCTTGTCCCTATAGGTGTTAATTTCTACGAAATCACGCGCGTATATAACATTAGATTTTTTTATCAACTGTCCTATAGGTGTTAATTTCTACGAGGAAATCACGCGCGTGTATATAACATTAGATTTTTTAAACTTTTCTTTATCATCCCTATAGGTGTTAATTTCTACGAAATCACGCGCTGTATATAACGTCCCCGATTTTTTAAAGCTTTCTTTTGTATCTTGTCCCTATAGATTATTGTTAATTTCTACGAAATCACGCGCGTATATAACGTGGAATTTTTAAGCTTTCTTTATCTTGTCCCTATAGGTGTTAATTTCTACGAAATCACGCGCGTATATAATATTAGATTTTTTTATGCTTTCTTTATCTTGTCCCTATAGGTGTTAATTTCTACGAAATCACGCGCGTATATAACATTAGATTTTTTTAAGCTTTCTTTATCTTGTCCCTATAGGTGTTAATTTCTTCTAAATCACGCGCGTATATAACATTAGATTTTTTTAAGCTTTCTTTATCTTGTCCCTATAGGTGTTAATTTCTACGAAATCACGCGCGTATATAACATTAGATTTTTTTAAGCTTTCTTTATCTTGTCCCTATAGGTGTTAATTTCTACCAAATCACGCGCGTATATAACATTAGATTTTTTTAAGCTTTCTTTATCTTGTCCCTATAGGTGTTAATTTCTACGAAATCACGCGCGTATATAACATTAGATTTTTTTAAGCTTTCTTTATCTTGTCCCTATAGGTTATTGTAGCTTAAATAAAGCACAGCACTGAAGATGCTGAGATGGGCCCTAAAAAGCCCCAACAACACAAAGGTCTGGTCCTAGCCTTACTATCAGCTTTTACTAAAATTACACATGCAAGTATCCGCACCCCTGTGAAAATGCCCCAATTCTCCTAATTAGAGATGAAGGAGCTGGTATCAGGCCCATAAGCCCAAGACACCTAGCTTTGCCACACCCCCAAGGGAACTCAGCAGTGATAAACATTAAAAATTAGCGTTAAGCTAGATTTAGTTATAGTAAAAAAAGTCGGTTAATTTCGTGCCAGCCACCGCGGTTATACGGGAGACTTAAACTGATAATTTTCGGCGTAAAGCGTGATTAATAGGTAACCTCATTAAGGTGAAATTAAGGCCTAGCCGTTATACGCTTCCGCCTTAAAGAAAACCAACTACGAAAGTGACCTTAACCCTTTTGAACTCACGACAGCTGGGTCACAAACTGGGATTAGATACCCCACTATGCCCAGCCTTAAACTTTGATAACTTACAATTCTCTCCGCCAGGGAACTACGAGCGCTAGCTTAAAACCCAAAAGACTTGGCGGTGCCCTACACCCACCTAGAGGAGCCTGTTCTATAATCGATACCCCCCGCTTTACCTCACCAATTTTTGCCAAATCCGCCTGTATACCGCCGTCGCCAACTTACCCTTTGAAGGTCAAAAAGTAAGTATAATGGTCTCTCACCAGAACGTCAGGTCAAGGTGCAGCGAATGAATTGGATAGAAATGGGCTACATTTTCAAAGCGCAGAAGGTACCCCAGGAAAATCCCTTTATGAGGCCTGGGGTTGAAATTTGGTTGGCGGTAAAAGAAACCAGAACGTTCTTTTTAATCTGGCCCTAGGGCGCGCACACACCGCCCGTCGCCCTCCTCGATTTAAATCTCAATTAAATAAAACCCTAAACATAACCCTAGAGGAGGTAAGTCGTAACATGGTAAGTATACCGGAAGGTGTGCTTGGAATCAAAATGTAGCTTAACCTAAAGCTTTTCGCTTACACCGAAACAATGTCTGTGAAAACCAGATCATTTTGACGCCACCTTTCTAGCCCAACCCAATACCTTATAAACCCCCTCACAACCCTAATAAACTTAATAAATCATTCTAAATCCCAAGTATAGGCGATAGAAACGGAACCCGGAGCAATATAAATAGTACCGCAAGGGAAAGATGAAATAGAAATGAAACAAATAATTTAAGCACAAAAAAGCAAAGACTAAATCTTGTACCTTTTGCATCATGATTTAACTAGTCAAATCAGGCAAAAAGCACTTTTAGTCTGACTTCCCGAAACTAAGTGAGCTACTCCGAGGCAACTTTAGAGTTAACCCGTCTCTGTAGCAAAAGAGTGGGAAGACCTCCGAGTAGCGGTGACAGACCTATCGAACTTAGTGATAGCTGGTTACTCAAGAAAAGAATCTTAGTTCTCTCTTAAGATATCTTAGCAATTCTAAGCAAGCCTTTATCTTAAGCCATATTCAATAGGGGTACAGCCCTATTGAAAAAGGAGACAACCTAGACCTTTGGATAATGATCATAATATTTTAACTTAGGCTTAGTAGGCTTAAAAGCAGCCACCTAAAAAGAAAACGTCAAAGCTCACCCTAATTTTTTATTCA